TATAACTAAGATTATAATTATAATTATAATTATATAATTGTGATTATGATTTAAAATTATGACTCAATTATGATTATAATTGTGATTTAAAATTATGACTATAACGAAGATTATGATTATAATTATTATTATATAATTGTGATTATGATTTAAAATTATGTGATTATAATTATGATTTAAAATTACGACTTAATTATGATTATAATTGTGATTTAAAATTATAACCGTGTTCAAGATTATGAGTTGAAGAATGAAGTGTCACGCGCGATTTCTCAGAAAATGAGGGAAAAAGAAATTTCGATCACAGAGTCTCGAACAGTTTCCGACAGAATGCAACGAAGAGAGAAAGAAAGAGAGAGAATAACCCAACCCTTTTCGAACAATTAAAGAACAGAGTGGCCTGTCCGGTTCCGCGAGGAAGAAGAAGCTCTCTTGCATTCATTGCAAGAGACTTTGTCAACAGGCAGGCCAAGGAAGCAGAGAACAAAACACCGAGAGACACCGAGAAAGCTAGAGAGAGAAAGAGAGAAAATGAGAGTGGGGCGGCGATAAAGCGGAGCTGTTCAACATTTTTCAGTGATTAGTTCAGCGCGTTACTTGCACGATCGACCAGCTCGTCTTCGTTGCTCCGTAGTTTCGACTTTCTGACGATCGTCAATTGTCAGAGGTATTTATATTTATTTGAGTTTCGGTCGACTATAATAAAGTTGTCAGCACTTTTTTTCTTTTTTCTTTTTTCTTTTTCTTTTCTTTTTTTTTTGCTACCGTTTTCACGTTTCTGTGCAACTAGATCGATCAATTTGAAGCCAAGCTCTATAAGTTTTAGGGAAAGATTGGTTCCTCTTCAAAATTTCGAGACAACTCTCTCTTTTCTCAAATATTCAGTCACTTTACACATTGATCTTTTTACAGTGTTAATCAATAGTTCTAGTCTTGAAGCAAGTTAGTATTTTCTATGTGCTTTGCCACGATATTTGTTCGAGAATAATATTGAAACTCTTTCCAGAGAACGTTCAATTTCTCTAATTGCGAGAGATCGACAACACCGGATATGCATTAATCGTTGAAGGAATAAAAAAAAGAAGAAGAAGAAGAGAGGCCGTGACATCGATGAACCCGATCGAAGCAGATTTGCTCGTGGAAATCACGCTCACGATTAAAAAACGTGATTCAGATAGGAAATTCAGTTGGATATCGGATTGAAAATACCGGAAATAGTGATTCTCTGTGTTTTCCTAATTTCTCCCTTCGTTTGAACGACTGTGCGCTCGAGAATCTCCACTCGTTTAATAATCAGTAACTCGTTTCGAGTCTCTCGTAAATTTGTATTTGAGTGAATTAATTTGAAAAATTATCAATCACAAAGATGATGAAGAGTGTTTCCTCCAATGTGTCTGCCGCTAACAGTTCAACAAAGTGTTGGAATTTAAAGTCACAGTGAGAACCAACCAGAGGACAAACAGATTGTGGGAGAACGCTAATCGCGTGTGTGAGTTTTATCGATTTATATTTGAGACAGCTTCGACGTTTTTTAATTATTATGTAGAGCTTTGCGAATCTTGCGGAGAAGTGAGAAATGTCGTTCGTGAACGGTACGATGATGATACTCGCGTACACCGCGAACATGATCGCCACGTTGCCTGAAAGAGTGGACGAGAACACTGTTGCCGACAGGTCGAATGTCACCACGACCACTTTGTCACCGGAGGAACGAGAAAATCAGTTCGACTTCGACGATCGTAAGTAAATTGGGATTGTCGTACTGTCAGAACGAACAGTGTTACACATTTTTTTCAGTTATGCGTGAGATTAACTACCTACGGAGCGACGATAAAACAAAATATTATTTTATCATTTCTGACCGTAGCACGTAACAGCGAGATTAAATGGTAGTATGTTTCATTAGGGGTAGGCTCATAAGTAACGTCGTTTTCTCCAAATTTAACAAACATTGCCGTCTGGTGATAATAATTTAACGTGATTATAACATGACCTATATTCTGGTTAAATACATCGATGTTTTTTTTTTTTTTTTTACAACATAACCTATATTCTAGGTAAATATATCGAGGTTTTTTTACAATATAATCTGTATTCTAGTTAAGTATAACATAACCTATATTCTAGGTAAATATAAATATGTTTTTCTTTTTACAACATAACCTATATTCTAGTTAAATATAAATATGTTTTTTTACAGCATAACCTATATTCTAGTTAAATATAAATATGTTTTTTTACAACATAACCTATATTCTAGGTAAATATAAATATGTTTTTTTACAACATAATCTATTTTCTAGGTAAATATAAATATGTTTTTTTTTTACAACATAATCTATATTCTAGTTAAATATAAATATGTTTTTTACAGCATAACCTATATTCTAGTTAAATATAAATATGTTTTTTTACAACATAACCTATTTTCTAGGTAAATATAAATATGTTTTTTTACAACATAATCTATTTTCTAGGTAAATATAAATATGTTTTTTTTTTTACAACATAATCTATATTCTAGTTAAATATAAATATGTTTTTTACAGCATAACCTATATTCTAGTTGAATATATTGATATTTAGCGTGTTTTATTATAACATAACCTATGTTCCAGTTAAATATATTGATATTTAATATTCTTATTATAACATAACCTATATTCTAGTTATATATTGATATTTAATGTGCTTGCTGTTAAATTATGCTATAGATATAAAACTGTATTCACTCTTAAATAAAAATGAGATACAGTATCCAAAAGACGACGGGGTATCCCTAATGGTTCGAAAATTAATAAACACGTGAGAATCATAACTTGTTGATTCAGTTTGTACAGGGTAGGCCAAAATGATTTCTTCCCACCTATTTTTCTTTTTTTTTCTTTTTTTTTTAATATCAAAATATTTAAAAAAAGACTAATTTTAAAATATTAATTTCAAATTAAATTCAAGTTCAAGCTTAATGATATTTTCATATATATATATATATATGAATTTCAAAATTTTTCGAATTGTTAAACTATTTCTTTCAAATGACCAGAAATATTATTCGCAAATTTGTGCTTTTTTTTTTTTTAGTGAGCGACTTTTGGCCCACCCTATAGTAGCTAGAGGCGATAACGAAAAAAAAAAAAAGAACCGATAAATTCGCGGAGACGAAACTCGTCTCGAGAAGTATCGTCCCTCGCGTTAATATGTCTCGTCACGTGATCTCGTTGGATCTTTTGCGTCAGTAGACAACCAGAACGCGATATAATTACTCGTAACGAGACATAAACCTACAATAAAATAACAACAAGTTTATTGACGTCGTGATCTATTAACGTTTCACAACCACGCCTTATCATTTTATTTATAATCCCGCGTTTGTTTACTCTCCCTGGAAGGCGTTTTTCTCTTCAAAAAAATGGAGCAGGACGATCGTTTCTTTTTTTTCTTCTTTTTCTTTCGAGATTATCACGTGAATTTTAAATTCATTCGTCATTTTTAAAAAATTCCCTCCGGCATTCTGAAGATTTTTGCAGCGACGACACATTGGCTGGAAGGAAAAACGAAGCGAAAGAAAGTGTTCAGTGAAATTGGTAATCCAGATATTCCGCGAGCGTGCTCGTTCGACCACGTGCCAATGGTCACAACTGCTCGCGCACGCTGTTAATACGTTAATCGTTAATCCAACTCGAAGACAAAACAGTAGCGAGGCGTTCTTCGAGGAACAGATAGTGAACCGACTGATAACCAGATAACCTTTGACAATTCTTCTTGAAACATTGACGTCGTTGCTCTTGTCTCCGATGGACAAATATTTAGAATAGCCATGGCCATCTTTCCGTTATGTCGAAGAAAAGCGAAATATGTAATGTACAGTGCAGTAGTCCCCCAGTTAAGCATCTGTCGCCCCCCCACCAATTCTTGAAATTGGGACTATCGCCACTCTTAGAGACTGAAAACCGAAATATTTTGAGGTTTAGATATTATACCCAGAGACTGAAAGCGAAATATTGTGAGGTTTAGGTATTATATCGATATTTGCTCCCATATTATCGTAATATAATCGCTATTTGGGAAATCGGTTTTAATACCGGTATAAGACGGTCATACCGGGATTTTCATACGTATTTTATCGGTATTTGATGTCCACAATGGTAGAAATACCGATATATATACCGGCACGGTACCACTTTACTGACGAAAACACATTTTTCATTTTCTACGTACAGTGACTCTTATTAATATTCGGACATCGTGCTGTTCAAAATATTGTTGTGGATTTCGATTGTTTGTAATAGTAAATTTGGATTAATTTTTTTAATAATATAATAGAATATTCATTATAGTTTATAGTAACATAAATTTTATTTATTTGTTGCACGTACTTTTCTTAATATCAAACAACAAACTGAACTATGTCGAAATGTAGCGTTTGAAGAGCTACAATATTTGAATCTGAAAATTGTTAACATAAACAATAATTAATATTTTGTTAGGTAGTCCTTAACTTCAATAATATATCGCAGACGCTTATGTTTCCAGTAATTTTTTTTAAGTAATTTAGCGGAATATTTTAATCGTTGTTTTAACTCCTCCTTCGATTTATTAACGTACGACAATTAGTCATTTTTCACCGAGAAAAAGGAAAAACGTATCGAGAGATCGGTCATCTTTTAAAATTAAGTAAGAGTATCGTGGCTGATACTGTATGGAGATACAACGATGAATTAGTATTAGAAATAATAAAGGACACGTGTGTAAGCGTCATCAAATTTACTATCGGCAGATTTATGAAAACATTTGATCAATGTCTCCTTTTCCTTTTCTAATATATTAATATTTTATTTACCGGTATTATACCGAAATACATCTACCGATCTAACATCGTTTCGATAGCATCATACCGGTATTCGCGCCATTTCGGTTTCATCAAACGTAATCGAATAGTAACCTAAAAATACCGATATTTTACCGGTATCCGTAATACCGATTCGGTCTCTGGCCACTCTACGATACCTTACCGTGTGAAACGTGAAGCAAAACAGGCGTTATTTCGGCATTATGATCGTCACTCGGACACATATCGATGAAAATGAGATAAATTTTATATTAAATAACAAACATCCAATTTATATGTATCGACACGATTACAGAGTCATGCTATGCGTGTTGTTAATTTAATATCGATGTAACAAGACATTTAGCCAAGGTCTCCCATTCAATTATTGATTGAACAACTACTCTGGCAGGAATATCAAAAGAAATTCCGAGGAATTTTAGATTAATTACAATCTTGTTTGATAATTATTGCCTCGTTACAATTTGTTGCTTTATTTAGTTTGAAAGTGTGTATTAAATTTAATTTAAGTTTGAATGTTTAGTAAAGTTCAAATTTAATTTGATATATTTTTAAATATTAAAATTAAAATAGTATTGAAACTAATTAAAACAGTATTAAAATAGTAGAGTAATTTGATATATTTTTAAATATTAAAATTAAAATAGTATTAAAACTAATTAAAACAGTAATAAAATAGTATAGTAATTTGATATATTTTTAAATATTAAAATTAAAATAGTATTAAAACTAATTAAAACAGTATTAAAATAGTATAGTAATTTGATATATTTTTAAATATTAAACTTAAAATTAATTAGTATTAAAACTAATTAAAACAGTATTAAAATAGTATAGTAATTTGATATATTTTTAAATATTAAAATATTAAAATAGTATTAAATTTAATTTGATATATTTTTAAATATATTTAATATTATTATAATATTATTTAATATTATTTAATATTGTTATAATATTATATATTTAATATATTAAATTTAATTCAAGTTTGAAAGTTTAGCAAACTGTTGAGTAGTTTAAGTAAAATCAGTTGAAATGTTAAATTTGTTTACAATCGAATGACGTAGTAAGCAAATTTGACGCTCGTCCTCGCTCTTTCTTTCGGTGACAATTCGTAGAGTACACCACCCCTCTTACGCGTCCATTTTCGGTTCCCAAACTGTGGGGACTACTGTACCATCCATCGGTGCGTTTGCAAATTTCATTTTTCAAAATTCCATTTTTTTTTTTTAGTTTAAAAATTCATTTTTTTTTTTTTTTTTTTCTTTTTTTTTCTTCGTCGTAGAATGGTACATGTGGCGATGTTACGAGCCGTACGGCTGTTTTTACATCGGTTCGCCATGGTCCGGCGAGAACAGGCCAGTCTCGACGTTCCCGGCGCGTCCGGACAGCATAAATCCTCGTTTCTCGCTGTACACTCGAGACACCGCGGACCAACCGCACGAACTGAAGATCGACAAGTTCGCGACCATTCGGGAATCGCCCCTCAAAAAGGATGGCAACTTTTACTTGATCATTCACGGCTTTCTCGACAACGGCGACAAAACGTGGGTCATGGTAAATTATCTTGTTTTTCTTTTCATTAAAGTTAAATCATTGTCATTTTTTTTTTATTTGAAAAACTGTGACTTGCAACTTTTTACATTTAAAAATACTACATATTTAAGATATAGTATAAAAAATACTATATATTTTGTAAAATATAGTATTTCAAAAATACTATTATTTTGAAAAGGATAAGCGAAGAATTCCTTCCCACCTACTTCTCTTTTTAACAAAACGTCGAGATTTTGTTAATTTTGAATTAAATTTCGAATGTAAACTTAAATCGGCGGTGCCTTTTAATCTAATAATTCTTTAAAAGAAACGTATGTACGTAACAAAATGAATTACGGATTTATTTTAGTAAAAATTTTTTGAATTTTCAGCTCACCTTGTATACTCGTATATTCAATTATTACAAACGTAATTATATATAATTGTTACATGTTACATTATACAATATAACATAATTATATATAATTATTATAAACAATAAAATTGCAAAGTTTGGAACATTAAACTACCATAAACACAAGTTATCGTCTTTCTGTTCCACAATTACGCATTTCACTGTCGTCGTGACGAATTCCTTTGCCGCAGAGGCTGATGAAGGAATTATTAATCAGAGAAACATGCAACGTGTTGATCGTGAACTGGATCGGCGGCGCGGGGCCACCGTACACCCAAGCTGTGGCCAACACGAGATTAGTGGGTGCTATGACTGCCCGTTTGGCCAACCAACTGACCGAAGTCGGTGGAATAGACTCGACGAGGATGCACTGCATAGGGCACAGCCTTGGCGCGCACACCTGCGGCTACATCGGATACACTTTGAGGCATACTTATTATCATAAGCTCGGAAGGATCACTGGTAAGTCAAGAAGCTGCTCGGACATGTTCTCAAAGTGTCTCGTCGTTCGTTCTTCGAACTTTCTTAACCATTTGGCGCCGGGCAAACTGATTTGCGGACCATAACGAGTGACCGAACCGTACACAGTTTAATTCGTCGCTTTCCGTTTCTTTTTTGAACTCGTCGGTGACGACGTCACTGGATAGAAATTGAGAAGTAATAAATTTATTATTCGTTTCGCCTCGGTTATACATAGATATACTTAAAACTTAGAGAGAATATTGCAATTTTTGGGACAAAGAATTCTCGAGCGTGC